TGTAGCCAATGTGCAGATTTCATCCAGTCGAAACGGCGGTACACCAAATCACGCAAAGAAAACCAGACATTGAAACACTGATATTTTGGTTTGATATTGGTGTCAGTGTAGGAGGTAGCCTTCAGTATTTAGTACTCAGAATATAAAAACCGTTACATCCAGACATTTTAGAATATCATTCAAAATTCGAATATAAATGATTGTTGTTCAATTTGACATCGACTATGAAGAGAATACACATGCTTGATGGATCAAGGGACGTGCGTTAGACCAAGGTCAAATCAGAGCAGAGGAACGGTTTCACTACATTATTATAGCCAATTAAAACAACACCATTCACTCAGAAAAGTGGAGAACTACCTTAGCGCTTATCGTGATTGACTACAAATGGAGTCAACTTCACTCTCATTTCTTGATCTTCTTTCTTACTCCAACAACGACAATTATCATCTTTCGATAATCCAAAAACTTCACCTACGGGTCATAAGGCCCGTTAAAAAACTATACAACAATGCCGGTCGCCGCTACTACAACAGCAACCACCGGACGTCAATCCACCATCGGATTCTACGCACCACAGCAATCAGTCTAGTTCGAGTAGTCTTCTTGATCTCCAGAGTTCTTCGCTTTGGGATCAAAACTCTACTCAATTATTCCATGAATATGATTTCGGTTTCGATGTAAATGCTCAATGTTCTATTTCCTCGGCAGCAGATTCCTTGTTTCCTCTCGATGCATTTACTGCCCCAGCCCAAGAAGTACCTTTCCAGAATTCCCCTGACTGGTACTTGCCACAAACCGATTCTTTCGAATTCCTCACATGGAATGATCCGTCAATAGGAGGAGATTTATCACTTGATTCTTCTTTTCCCATCGCCGCTGGTGCCTCTATTGGTAATGATAATTTCCTGGGTCAATCGGATGTTGGATCCATTGACAATATGTCTCAATCCCATTCATTTCTTGATAATCAAACTCATCGGGGTAAGTTCTGATTCCCACTTCTAACATCATTTAACATTACTAACATATCTCCAACAGCAATATCCACCGATCAATCTTCCCCTGCCTCTTCAAATCCCAAATCAACTTCCTCGCCAACTCACTCATCTCCACCTTCACCCCCCTCTCCCAAAACTCAAACTGCAACCAGTTCTTCATCCACCATATCACGAGTTGAAAAACGCAAGCTAAACACTTTAGCTGCTCGTCGATATCGACAAAAGCGCGTCGATCAAATGAGTAGTCTCGAGGCTGCACTCAAAGAAGTCGAACGAGAACGAGACGCCTTGAAAGTTCGTGTTGCGAAATTGGAGGGTGAGACGGATATTTTGAAAAGTTTGTTGAGTAAGAAGAACTAGGATCCGGTTTGGAAAGGATGGATGGATTTCTGACGTGCTATTTGCTCCCATGGGCGCGATTATCGAGACTTGAATTGAATTATCATACACCACTATTAGTTTGCCATTCGTGATAAAAAAAAATTGATATGTGAAAGATTTATAAAGTGAGACATTCAGACGATGTCGGTTCGATAGTTCATGGACCAGCAGATTGATCACTCATATCGGCAAAAAGGATTTGAATCACAGTCTCAGATGCATTGGGGGGTTGAAGTAATTTGGGAGTACTCACATCTTCTCATAAGTTCTCATATATCATTTCAATGCAATCCATTTGGATGCTCACACTCTCACATCTTTCGAGCATTGGATCACCATGATATTCTCTAGACTTCAGTATATATACCAGTCCCATCACATACATACATACATCATCCATCTTACACACAATAACTCATATTTACAACTACAAGAACCACTCATGAGAAATATCTCATCACTATTCCTCAGCATGAGTCGAAATGAATACCTAGGTATTCATAGCTCATTATGTTGAGCATATATCACGGTATTCGCGGTGTCGTATTTCTTCTCGTTTATGTAGTGTGTGTGTATGTAACTATATGCTATGTATATCAAATATTTGCACATCCCATCCTCGATCAATGAATGATAATATTCTATTTATCAACTCGTAACTCTATACGTAGGTAGGTATACCCAGAAAACATATTCATTCATTCATTCTGTCTGTAATCTGTAATGTGTAATGTGTAACAAAACAAATCTCATCAAACCCTCACCCAAACCCTCACAAAATCCCCCTCACTCCATCTCCCCCCTTTCCAGCAAACAATATATTACAATGACGTTCCTGGAGAAAATACTGCGTTTTGATTGGGTGTTCGATAATGTGGGGGGGGGGGGGGGTAGGGAGTAAAGATTCATGATGAGGAATTGTGAGGAAGTGTGAGTGATTATGAGTGATTATGAGTCATTTTTGGGGGGTGTCACGTGTGATGAGTGGGGTGGGGAGAGGAAAGGAGGGGTCTAAAAATAGTTTGGGAGGGGATCTATGGATGGGGTTTGAAGGTTGTATTTGCAGAAATGTCTATGTGATGGATCTTAGAGGATTGCAATTTTATTAGAGATAGAGATAGAGACTTGTATTGTGGGGTTTCTTTCGAGTATTTTTGGGTTATGTGATGTTTTGATCATGGGAGTTTCTGTCATGTGATTTGAATTTTAAGCTAACTAGATTAGCTTGAGAGAGGTACTGCACGTGATGCAAGATTCGGTCGAATTATTGATTTGAAGTTGAGATCTTACATGTGCTGAGACTCTTTCACTGTTGTTTCTACTCGTATTAACATAGCATTAAGCATACACCATTCAACCTCATATCTCACATCTCACATATTGAGCGGTTCGTGGTATGTATGTATCACGCGGTCGATAGATCTTGTTTCTCTGAAGGCATACCATGAGGTTCTTGTGTGATTAGGTTTTCCTTCCAATTGCGGTCAAACTAGGACCTTGTATAGGAACTTGGGGTCCAGGAAAAATCTAAGGTACTAGGCATAATCGGGAGGAACTTATTGCCTTCGTATGCGGAATGACGACAAGGAGTCCCAGGAACAGCATCAAAGTCACGATCTGAAAGTCACCTGCGGTAGATGCACTTCGACTTTGGGGACCATTCTTTCATTATTCCATTTTCTTGTTATTCAATCGTTTCAATCTTCAATGATATGCAGAAAGATTCATTGATCTAGCCGGCTCAATGTTGGTCTTATCTACATATATTTTGTCAAACGTGGGTGACGTTACAGTGACGGAGGATTAAACTCCGTGGTATCACAATGTTTAAACAAGCTGAAAAATCGATGCTTTAACAAAATGCAATACACAGCATATATGGCAAACGATAGACATCAGAGACTAAAAAAGAGCATCGAATTCTAGGCGATGGCCTTCGTCGGGAACGCGATTTCAAAAATCGTTGCTAGTGTTGCAACGCTACAGAACAAGACCACCTTTGCTCTTTCGAGCTTAAATCTAGATTTCACGTTGATCAAATTGGAGGCCCCGAAAGCATATCGAGTGCACGGAAGCACAATGCTGAGAATGGCGGACTTCACAAGACAGCACGAAAGTTAGGGGCGCTTTTTGTTGATAAGGCCTCTCTGGCTCCAGAATGATCCGTAATTTTTGGAAAGACGGTTTCGGTCGATGTGGATAACTGGGATGAGATTTTGGCATTAAATAGAGGTTCTCCTTCGGCAATGAGAGCTACGGGAAATTGGCTCGTAATATCATTAGCTCGTGCTACTTTTTTACAGACTCAAAGATCTACAGTTTTAGTGCCTAAGGATGTTTTTTGGACCTACTGAAAAGAGCATTTGCAGAGAAAAGTCTTTGGCATAGTATATAAGGAAATCTCGTTTAGCTAAGGTAATTTCATTTGGATTTTGCAGTCGGTGGCTTTTCTTTCCAGATTGCAGATGCTATGCTAGCTCTATTATAGCAGAATGGGCGATCTTGAGAAGTGGGTAAACAACTTGATGCCACCAGGAGACGAATCCTGATGGAGAATTCTTGGAATAAGAAGAAATGCGACTCAATCATTTGGTCTTTGTTCAGTCAAGATCCGAATCATATCAATATTTTCGCAATCTCTTATACATACTCGCGGGCTAACGATGAGCGCAGCTGTCTGCTAATCAAAATATATTGACAATTCAGATTAGAAGACACTTTTCCTTGGGAAGGATCTTCTGGATGATGTCCTATCGCCATTCCAGATATATGATAGGCTCATAGTAAAAATAGCAGCAACAGCGGGACAAGTAGCGTGTTTTCTAGAACCCACATAATGGAGATATGTTCCTTTTATGCTAGTGTGTGAAATATTTTAGTAGAAAGTCTACCGTTTCAACAGTTTGAATCATAAATTGTGATGTTTGACAATCATTTTTTTAATGATATTTGGGTTTTTGATATGTAAATGGCGTTCGGATTTCAATTTGTGTCGGGAATACTCAGTGTTACTATGTCTTTTACATAATTCAAGACTGTTCTGCTAAGGTATGATCGAATATGAATAGGATACGAGTTGTATGATCAACACCTGACGGATGGGGATTGGTTTTGTGGTGATTCCAATCACGCAAGAAAAACTGGGAATGACTCTTCAATTTCCTGAGAGAACTCGTATGAGTGTTAGATGTATAGAATATTCATATGGTGGGTTTTGAGTAATATAGATGAATATATTCGTTCGTGATGAGTATTGGGATCATATCTCTCTATGAGTCTATCCATGGAGAAACCACCTATACCCTTTCCTTTCCCTTCCGGCTTTAGGATTTTTCCTCTTTCGTTTTTACATACTTAAAATTGAAAAGTTGCATCGAAATACACTATCACTCAGTACATCACAACATCAAGGATAGCAAGCTCAACATCTGTTACACTACACGCTTACACATTCTTCTACTATCGCCAAATTCTAAATTGGTATGTGGATGCTCTATACATTTAGTTGCCGGTACTGACACAGAATATATTACCAAAGACATTGGAGTAGTTACGTCTCTCAAACCATAGACTTTTAACACTCGGTGACTAAGGTCAAACAGCAAATTCGCTTCATTTATGATGGCAGGACATCACCACCACCACGGACATTCAAGCCATCGGCGCGGTAAACACGATGGCACGAAAAGAGCTGAAGAACAACGCGATGACCAGGAATACCGAGAGAGAATGATTAAGGAGTTGAAAGAGCGTAGAGGTAGAAAAGAAAGACGCAGAAGGGCTCGAGAAGCGCTTGAGTCTGAGACGGGTAAACCATGGTGGTTTGAAATGAATGATTCGGAGGATCAAGCCCGGAAATGGATGGTCGAAGAAAGAGAAGACAAGGAGTTACGTAACGCTGACGAATGGAACAAGGCTCAAGAGTTAAAGAAGATTACTGGATTCTTTTACGATAAAGAACGGAAACGTTTCGCTTTGGCTGAAGTGGAGAGCAAATGGAATACTACTAAGGCAAAGAGAGATGTAAAAAAGAGAGAAAGAGATCAAATACTTGAAGAAGCATGGAATCGCGAGTTCTTCCGCTGGAACGACGAGCTGGATATTGCAGGTAGCAACGACGACCGATACGAAACACCTGATGAAGACGGTGTTATTTGGTCCCCTCAAAGCCTTTTAGATATCAATAATGATATTAGAAAGAGGCATCTCGCAAGATGCATGCCAAGTCTTCAAAAGCCTGATTCTAGAGGTACACACTGCAAGGACTGCGAAGATGAACAAGAGGTTGGTCATTTCTGGGATGAGGTCCGCAGGCTCGGACTCTAAGGGCATGGAATATTGTACTGTTAGCAATCCTTCCACTAGGAAGTAGATAACCAGAAATTAATGCGTGACTTTCAATTCAGGAATTAGGGTGATAACATGCCACATGTGACGCTAAAGTGACTACCTGAGAGGATGATTACAGAATAAACGAGTTTTGGGTAGAGGAGAGGGGACATACTGAGTTCATTGTAATGAACTTGTCGGTACAGTAGGTTTCTATTGTACAGAAATGGTCTGTACAGTAGGAGCCTATTAAAAAGAGAGATAGAATTGATGGATGATTAAGTTCTGTACAATGAAGATGGATTGTTCGAAAATGCTTTATAAATTAGAGATTCATTGCTTAGATATCTCTTGTACAATAAAGACTGACTGTACTGAAACTACTTGCATAATGAAAGCTGTTTGTTCAAAAAGATCCCGTGGAATTATGATTCATTGTATAAAATTCGTACATACAACAAATATTCATTGTACTGCATTGATTCATACATCTTTCTGATCACGGAACACTCAACGAATAACATTAACAATTTCTGACTCGAAATGATAAATATGCACATTCACATCCAAACCTACTCATGCTTCAAATAATCATAACTTGCTTGATTACTCAATACTTAAGCTTCCAGATCCCCACTTCTAACAAACTAACTCCAGTCCACAAAGCACTTCGAAATATCAAACTTCTCCTTACCCACAACAGTACATCATGGCCAATAGACATCGGAACAACTCCCGATCATCCAGATCCCTCGTTCCAAATATCGACATGGGTCCTATTCTAGGCACCCAACGCTCATGGAACGATATCGAGAAAGCTGTGTCAGCAGACAAGCAAAGAGAGGAAGCAAACAAGTCGCCTGCCCAGAGAGCCAAGGAGCAGCATGAACGAGAAGTAAAGCTTGCTAGACACGCTAGACGTATGCAAAATCGTGTCACGATTGAACATATGAGAAAAACACCATGGGATACCGAGCTAAAGGCGACAGATAAAGCCGCGGAAAGTCTACTCAATTACATCAAAGCACAAAAACAGCAAGCCCGACATTCCAACAAATGGGGAAGTAAGATTGCATCTAAACTCCATTCGAAAGCAACACAAGAGCGAATCGAAGCGGATACGAAACAACAGATGCTAGTGTTGGAGAGGAACTTTGAGATGGCTAGAAAGGCGGAAGAAGAGCGTTGGCTACAGGAAACTAGGCGAGGATCGTAGTGCGGGAAACGCCAAGATACATGTTGAGAGTTGTATGACATCGGAAAGAGGTCTACAACGAGGAGGCTCTTGTTGCGAGGACTGTCGGTATGATTCTACACTTGCTTTTTATGCGGAAGAGAAAGAGCAAAGTAGGCTTAGGGCTGATTATTATTGAAATTAGAGAGTTGGGTGTGTTCGTACGTGATGATTTCTGTAGGCTCGTCCTATAGAAATGCGGAATTTAAGTGTACTTTAGCTTTCTTATACCGGATATGAATTTTATTATTATTTTTAACTTTTGAAAATAGATCGTGAAATGATTTTGATATGACTGTGATTGATAATTGGTATGGATGAGTCTTGTGAAGTGTAAATGTGTATCATCATCTGTGTGAATCACCGACAAAATTATGGCTGATTTCCATGAATCCAATGCGAAAAAACGAGTAATGAATTATTTGGAGTTTCTCGTACTCAAGCGAATTGCCTCCTGCATATTCGGGCTCTCTTTCTTCTTAGAAATTTTGAATACTACCTACACGAACACTTACTTCAATATTGCAGATAATATTGATTATTAAGTCAACCTTCTTACCATCAGCTCTATTTTGATATTCACTTTTTCCAATGCTCTGCTCATTGCTCATCCAAAGCCTCAATTTGAATAATTATCGTGATCGTGGTCTCGAACCCTATCTGATGGTTCTGCTTTCCGAATCCTAAGCTTCTATTCCAATTATAGGGCTTGACGGCTAATATTTTCTGAGAAAAAACCTATCTGTATTTAATCTCAATGCATAAATTCACAGTTTCTGCCAGGACAAATAAAATACATGAAGACTAGTTGATAGTTATCGAAGGTCTTATGTAACGACACATGCACAGATTTATAGACACAAGCTGAGATGCATAACATAGCAGGACGGGAATTCTCCCGAACCGAACTTTAAGTTTTGCACTTTTGGCGCCTGCCATTCCAACTGAGTCTTCAAATTCATCATGTCAAGATGCTGGAATCATCAAACTGAGAGTATCATCGATCAAAACCTGTGTTTGGAGGGGAATTCAGAATTGACAAGCGGCGTCAATTTATAGAAGCACGGAGAGGAACTGTTGATAGGAAGCGAGAAGCAACTTGAGATGCAGCAAGAAATGCAACAGACGGGTTGGCAGGAAAGTAAATATTGGAGCCAGAGCAGTACAGAAGATAGCAAAAAAAGGAAGAGTAGTTACTGGCACACATGCAACGTGAAGTAAAAGAGTGAACCGATCAAAAACGTAAAGCAGAACGTGTAAGAGAAATTGGAATTTCCGAGATAGGACAGCGGGAGTATTCTCGTTGGAATCAAGAGGTAAACCTGGTATGGAAGTTGATCCTGCTCATGTCGCTTGGACTAGTCTCTTAAACAGAGATGATTGTATTCGGGTGGTATATCGAGAGGGTCTCCGAGAAGGATGAGGCGCGTTGCAAAGATGATGCTAGTGCCATTACTGAGAGTTAACGTTTCGCAATTTTGAAGTCCTCGGAGGAAAGACGTTCACCTGTAAAGTCGGGATAATAGCAGAAATGGTGTCAAATGGAGGGAGCAGAGAGAAACTAACAAGATTCTTTTCATAATCTTTCTTGTTGGCCCTATAAGAATGCTATATTTGTAGTGATGGGTGGCTAAAATTTTAAATGATATACTGAGAAAGCTGTGTTTTTGAAGTACTAGTCTGTACGGGTCTGAAAATGTATATCACAGATATAAGAAAAGAGACAACCGAAAATCAGATCAGTGATGAAACTTTCCAATCGAAAAGCGTGTGATGAGCCAGTGCATCTCCTATCTATCTTCGAGCGGAAATGGTAGAGGAAAGCACGAGGGACGAGTTCTCATTGTGCGTTTCCTTTCTGTTTCTATCACTCTTTCCTCTCCCAATTTCTCCTGTTTTTCTCTCTATTTACTTCGCATCTTTCAAACCAGGCTCTTATACTCGAACATCAAGTAAACAACATCAAATTATCCAAAAAGCATTCTTCAATCGTTGGAAACCAGTCTAGTATACATTTTATATAATTTTACACATTGCTTTTGCACCTCTTATCCTTAACACTTGAGCATTTATCTCCCAATAACTCGACCGTCAATCGAAATACCGCAGCTCATTACTCTATTGAACGACAGTCGACAGTCCATTCTTCACACCAAATATCGTGCAGGTCATTACATACGCTTCCAAGCATTTTTTGAACTGATGACAAGGAATTCTGCACACTTGACCTGATCTTCAGATCCACTGCCGTCTGATAACGTCACGATATCTTTATCCAACTACAGCCAACTACAGCCAACAACATCATGGAAAATACACGTAAGAGGAAAAGTGTAAGATTTTCCGGACTAGATTCTGATTCTGAGGAGCCACCTTCTATGCCATTGGCACCAAGGGATGGAACCTCTCAAACTGTATCTAATTCTCAGACACCAAGGGTTGGCTTATCTCAAACTGTATCTAATTCTCAGATACCAAGGGCTGGCATATCTCAAGCTGGATCTAATCCTCAGATACACCGAAGAATCGAAGCTGCACTTGCCTCAGTACATATCATGGACCCGATTCCACTTGAACGCCGACGCCACAGACGTATGAGAGTGCGAGAAACGATGGAATCGACAAATGGACCTTGGGACAAAGAAAGAGAGGAATTAATTGCATACGCGAATAAGCTATCAAGGTTTGAGTCTACAAGACTTCAGATAATCAGATCGAAGAAAGAGAATTTGACGGCGACAGAAGTGGAAGTCATTGAGGAATTGAAGCGTCAAGATGAGAGGAGAGCAAAGAGTGAGGAACGATGGGAAGAAGAATTGAAAAAGAATTCGGGTCTGATCAAAAAAGTTACGAGGACAAAGAGACGTAACTCAATCAGAAAAACTCTCAAGCAAGAAAGAATTGCTTACGAGGCTGTCAAAGATAATCTCAGAACGCAAGCCAGAGATGCTGAATGCGAAGTCGACAGAGAATATTTGCGGAAAAAAGAGATGGATTATGAAATCAAGAGATTATGGGAAGCTGAAGCGACTAGATGGGAGATGGAGCTGGAGATCCCATCCCTTCTGAGAAAGTCCGAACTCCCGACAGAAGAGCGGGACTATTTGAATATCTCTATAGGTAATTCTTATGTACATAAAAGGTGGTGTATGGCTGGTCCAGTTGATAGGGAACCGTGGTCTTATCGTAACAATGAACGGAAAATGGTATGTGAGGATTGTAGGGCTGATGAAATTTGGAAAAACAGAATGCAGGAGAGCTCAGAATTACCGGGTACTCCAGTTCAGGATGTCAATGAACTTGTATAAGCGTGTGGGCGTTATGATGTAGTATTTTTTTTTTTTTTTTTTAACCTCAGCAGCGTGCTCATAGAGAAGTTGGCTAGCGGAATATAAACATAACTTCAACTTTGTCAAGTGTTCATAATCCATGGAATGATATTTTTACCGCAGACTTTGATTGCAAGACTAAAATAATTGATAACCTTGAAAGCTCGCTAGTGATCTCGTGGGGCTTGACAAGAGTTCAATTTTAACGACGAATGGACTAACACTCTAGCAACTTCAAATTGTTCCTGCAAAACTTCTACTCTCTCCATACTCTGTACTTCAGTACATAAGTTTCGTATCCCATCGCTACTACTTCTTGCATGGCACTATCCATGAAAGGAATCGATGTTGTTCAGTTAAAATTGCTTGAAGATCCTGTTCAGTAATATCGCAAGAATGGACTTGAGAGAGGCATCCGAAAACTGGATTTATCATTTTGTTGTTGATGATGATGGAATATACAGCTAGGTGAATGATCAGTGTACGACGTCTGAGGAGCAACGAGGTTATGATCTGGGACTTGGGGAATCAGTGTTCTGATAGGAGGGAGGAAGTTCGATATAGCGGGTACGGATATAGAGCTGGTGATAGATATTTTTGGATGTTTTGGGTCGAGGATAAGTTCCGGCTTGATGTTGCTGCTGTACTCTGTTGCTTCCTGCTGCTCAGGCACAGGGCATTTTGGGGATGGAGATGAGGTTTTCCGAGATGATGATGTGGGACCTTTCGCTCTTTTGTTGACCTTGTTTCTCTGGACATCGCTTATTCCACCTTCCTTGGCTTTTCTCTTCCTTTTTTTGCTCTCCGTCCTCGAAACATGCTTTCGGGACTCTTCCGATCCCATAGTACCGGTAACATTGAAACTTTCTCTCGCATCATAACCAACTGACTTCGACATATTTGTGGGCCCTTACACTTGTCAGCTTTATATCCTGCCCCAGAATTCCATCGATCTACCCCCTCCACAATGAAAAAAATAACTTACCATCAACACCCCAATCCTCCCCAGCTCCACCTAATCTCCCACAAACACAGCCTTCAAGTTCATGTGCACAACTCTGCATGGGACGACCTGGCTTGCGTACTAAAACCAATAGTCGATTGGTATGCATACATTTTGTTGCTCTATGCCCGCGGATACATGGTTCGCTGATGATTCTTGGATCAGTTGAATGAAGGTAAATAGTATGAAGGTAGAGAGATAGTTGCAGAGAAACTGGATCTGGGAAAGCAAAGAAGAAAGAAGCAAAAGAAGAAGTGGGGATACCAGGAGTATTTTTTGGAATTGACGACGGGCATGTTGATCGGGTGCGGTGAGATTCGAGAATAGGGAGTTGTGCTTCAATGAGTATAGATTACTGATCTACTCATGATAGTTTCGGACGATTTTCGCGAGCTGAATATGACTCAGTCGTATTGCGGGCAACAAAAAGTTTCAATGAGTAGAAAACAACAACAAAGTGTAGCTAATCCAGGAAACAAATCCACAATTACAGTTTCCCAATACCTCAACTAACACCCATTGCGATTCAGAAAACCTACAAAGATATAACACCCATCCAAAATTCCACATACAGCCCAAACTACACGCAGACGCGTGTACTTACTTTCTCACCTCCTCTCCAGAACCATCGCTTACTAAGAAACCTTCTCAACTCCCTCATCACTCTCCCATTTCATCAACCCATCTCACCAATCCATCTCATCCATCCAACTAACAAGTCAAGTATCCACCCAGTACAAGCGATACATTTAGTATACCCAATATGCAAGCCAAGCATACTATGAAAGTGAGCACATTAGCGCAACTTAATTGCGCGAATTTGAGCGCATTTTCGTCGATTGGGGAATTTCCTATCAGGGGATTGAGAGACGTTGTAGATAGGTAGATGTATAGCAGTACCATTACTTTTATCGATAGTTCCAGAGTGAATGTGAGATTTTTCATGATAGTCCATATTGCCACATGACACAGTTCGCTCTGATTAATCGGAATCTGGAAAATTGAGACATTGGACCCCGATTTATTTGATTGTCGTGTGTTTGTCGTGTTTGCGCATGTTTGAGCAGTATGTAGGTAGTGAGGTACGAGGAGATCCTAACTGTTGATCATAGAATGGATTGAAAATGAGAAAGGACGTATCATACCATATCTTGCATAAAACTGCTCCTGATTTCTCCGATACACTTTGCGTTTCGATACAGCAGGCGGTGATTTGGGTCAAGTTATCGAGGCGATTGAGAAATTCAAAATGAATATGGACATGGATATGTCATCCAGCGCTGCGAACACATCTCTATCCCATACTCCCTGTAAGATGTCCGTAAGTTGCTCCACGTCTCCTTCGTATCTCCATCACATTTTCATACATTCCGCAACCTCAAACGACCAACTCCCATACTAAACGAGCCCACCCTAGATGCTCCTCAACTTCCACACCACATCAACCTGCTACCTCCACCCCTCCCTCCAAGTCCACACCTCCATTCAATTCCTCCTCGTCTGTCTCTTTTCCTTCCTCCTCCCTATACTCCTCGAAACAACCCGTCGTTACCAACGTACCTGCGATCGGTATCTGCGTTCCAAGAACGCACATCGTGCACAGCAGAAGTCCCTTGAAACAGCAGATGAAGACGGAGAGGACAAGCTTCTCCTCGGACACAATGACAATCCAAAGCGAGCAGATAAAGCTGGAATCTTGGAGTGGAAATGGATGCGGATTCCACGGATTTCAATTGAGGTCTGGGAGCAAGTTTCAAGGGCAGTGATTCATGGCGTGCAATTTGCGATTTCTTATACGATGATGGTGATGTGGATGTATAGTAACGGTAAGACTTTTTAAAATCCCATCATCCCAATGCCGCCCAGTTCCACTAAAACACCTTACTCGCGGAGCCCATACTAACTGCAAAAGTATATATCATAATCTGCATCCTACTGGGTGCAATGACGGGATTCGGAATGTTCACGCGTGATGTGCTGGAGGTGTCTGGTTATAAACATCTAGAAGAGGGGTAAGTTTGTATCCTTGGAATATGAATATACTTTGCTGGGTATTCGAAACGTAACTAACAATTGATATAGTGAGAATGACGGGAGAGGAGAGAGTTGTTGTTAGATCGGGAAGAGAAAACTTTGGATACGTTATTTGGAAAGATGAAATGACGGTGAAGTGATTGATGAGATTGAGATTCGGAGAGACTGGGTAAGGAAAGCAGCCGGCAAGAAGTCGAAGAGGGGACAAAGTCTTATTGAATAAGGAGTGCATATCTAAGTGTACATCAATTTATGTCTCCCTGTATCGACTCTGCCTACCCATCACACGGGGTGCTGGAAATACTAAGACTAGCTGGAATAGTGATGATTGGTTCTCTTTCAGAACAGATCCTCATGTGGATGCAGATGCCGATTCTCATAAAGTTTAATTCTTGTGGTGGTTGCAAGATGCTGTGGGTAGAGAAGTGTCCCATGAACCTCAATTTTGAGGACTGTATTCGACGAAACCATGATTCCCAATTTAAATCCCATAATCCAATTTCACATTCCCATTTCGAATGACGCTAAAATTCAAAGATTGATTCCAAGTAATGACTTTTTATGTCGTGTATCTTGAATTAATTAGGAGGCTTCCCCCTCCTCGTTTGCTACAGGTTCGACGATCTGAGGTGCGGCTTCGTTACTACTTGGGACTGCTCCGCCATACATGTTGGCCAATCGTTCTTGCTCCTTCTTCTCACGTAATGCCTCAGTCTCTCGTCGCATTCTCTCCATATTCCATGCATCATCTTCATTATCATCGCCTTCATCCTCATCTCCACTGGCTTCCCAATCTCCCTTCTCAAACATAGCACGACCAGTAGCTTCTTTGGCAAGTCTAGCTTGTTCTTCACCAGCCTTCTTGTCCATACGCTCGGCTTTCCATTTAGCAAATGTCTCTGGCGTGACTGGTGTTAATGTGCCAGTAAGCTTGTGTCGTTCAGACTCAAGGAAATCCTCAAGGGTAAGTGTCTTTAGAGGTGATTTATCCATAAGAGCCTTTTCTGCAGCACGTTGTTCTTTGGTTTTGAGGACGAATCTGGATAGTGGTTAGTGATTGCACAAATAATTGAATAGAGCGATGTAACATACCCTGGCGGTAACTTATGTTGGTACATACACTTGTCCCCTCCATTTGGACATGTCCAAAACCAACCATATTTTCCCTCCTCTACAGCATCGATAAAGAATTTGCAAACTTTCTCTGTTGTAGTCTTTTGATTTCCCTTTTTCGATAATACAACGGAGCGCAGTTTCTCCTCGTCCCAATCGTCTGAAGTTTCCTCTTTTCTTTTCTCTGCTTCTGCCTCTCTGGGATCTTGCGCAAGATCAATTTTTGTTGATTTGCGCTCAATGTTAAGGTCGTGTGAGAATTTACACTTCCTACCCTTCTCACAATGGCCCTTCTTATAAAATTGACAGAGAACTGTTTTGGGATCGACACCAAATGGGACTTTCTGAACTTGTACAGGCTTGAATAATTCAGCTGCCTCTTTCTTCGCCGCTTCTGATGCTATCTTTTCTCGTTCTCGCTGTTCTTTCTCGGCTTGTCGTCTCTTTTCATCGGGAGTGCCTCCAGCTTTATACGAAGTTTGCATTCGCTCGATTTGTTTTTGCGCCTGGGCTCCCTTCTTGTTTTTCATTCCAAAAGTCTTGTCTGCCACTGTGGCCGGTGCCTTTTTAGGCTGATCCGGCTGGCCTTTTCCCTTCTTTGGTGGCATTTTGTCGGATTGTTGATCAAGACTCTGTGTTTTATATAGATGACTGATTCAATCGATAATCAGGTACGCACCAGACTCAATGGAAGGGTATCGATATGCGGAAAAGACTGTGTTTGTATTCTCCTGATGTGGGACTAAAGAAATAGTACGGAGTAGTAATTTTTAGACTGGTGATGAAATCAAAATCAAAATCATCATAATCAAGGACTTGATTGATTTTGGTGGGGTTAAAATTTAATGGCTACTTTAGCGAATGGGGCTAGTAGGGGAGTGAAGCTTGGACTTTGGCTCCATCAAGCTGGCCTTACATGAAAGCCGCGAAGCTGTTGCGACACGACCGATTTGACTTGCTTGAATCAACAACCTCAAAGTCAATCACAATTAAGTACAATTGATGTAGATATCGAAGCTTCTTGGTATGTTCCCCTCAAATCTATTGTTTGTTGATTGAAAGGAAAGAAATTCTAATAGTTATTTAGTCTACTCATCGTCTCTCTCTCTTTAAGACCTTACGTGGCCTCCTTCAATACTCTCTTCGAATCGCAATTCGCATAACAATTATACAAGATGATTTCGGACGATGAACTTTACCGCCTCGCGATCTTCCTTGGCTCAGCTGCAATGCTTTTGATCGTCCTCTACCACATTCTCGAAATCAACTCGGTAGAAGAGCCCAAATCAGACAGCAAAGTTAGCTCCACTTCCACATCTCAAGACAGCAAAGCAAACGTGGCAGGAAGATGATTGGAGAGGATAGTTTTGATTTGAGAGGATGACTGCTTTTGCCATAGAGCAGGATATATGTGGCTATAGGGAAGCTGGGACTGAAAGGTGACTGTGTATGACATATTTCCACAACTCTCTGGGCATTTGTACTTTCTGGAGTTTTATGGGCGGACCGCTGGACAGATGTTGCTAGAAAGCTATATGGAAAACCATGCGGAAAATTCTTGGGCGTTTCATTTCATACTTTGATCCTTCTACTCATAGAGCCAATGTATCGAATCTATTACAAGGTTGTACTGAGCTGCATTTTTCCGCGCTGTATTCAATACATGGATTTCAAATATGAATCGAGGATCGTTCTGGTAACTGGAGAATTGGTCGATCGAGTAGGAAACCGAGTGCTTATTTGAGTGAATTGCGATATCAAGGAGGGACAGGATATTCGAGGAAATAGCATCGAAACCTGTTTGGACCAGTCCCAATTTCGCTGTACTATATTTATCTTCATGTATGAAGATATGAATAAGGTCCTACATACCGTATCCACCTATACTGTAACAATGTATCTGTCTCTTATTTACCAGGTACCCGTAGCCTGTACGTGATTGACTGCCTGCAACCCGTCAACCCGTCGAATCGAATCAAACTTCAAAGTCATGTATGGAAATGTGATCAAGAAATCATCCAAAGGTTGTGGTAGAAAGAATTCACTTTGGGCACAGATTGGAAGCTACGCTACTTGAACTAAGCTCAAATTGGTTAGAGAAGTCATGTGTTGAGAGAAATGATGACTCAACCATGGACTAGCGTCAAATCGTGTCGCAAAGTAAAGTCAGCCTCCTTCCTTCCAACTCCTTTCAAGAACAAACAAATACTTCGGACACTTTCGACATAATCCATCGTCAACTCGAACTTCAACAACTTTCTATTCATAACTTTTTAAATCCGCAAGTTCTTCACAGAAGTTAACTTTATTAATCTGCGACTCTATCCAGCTTTGGATAATCGCAAATTACCCTTGCCATAATAACAACACCTTCAGGCGCGTCTTCAGCTATAGCCTGATCCTCATAGAACGCATTTCAGCGCATCAGAAATCAAAGTCAGCTAGCTTCTTTCCCATCTTCGAAATTTATTGATCAATTCATACTCGGTCAATACTTTTTCTACATTATTTGATCCTAACGTTGCGAACAATAATCAGCCAATTTCTCACTTCCCAACCCAAAAAACTTCACAATGTCTTCTGATAAACTCGGTCAATCTCTCGATGAGATCCTTGCTACTCAAAGAGCATCAGGCACTGGACGTGGTGGACGTGGCGGCGGTCGTCGTGGTGGACGTGCTCCAGGTGGTCGCAACGCCACTGCAGCTCCAGTCGGAGGTGTATCCAAGAGCAAGAAGCCAATTAAGGGTGCAGTAAAGCCTGCTCCAGCTGGTCCTTCGGGAGGAAATGCCCCATCTCGTATTGTGGTTAGCAACTTGGTATGTCTATCTCAACACATCTTATTGGAGGCTCAACTGCTAACGACTCTTACGTCAGCCATATGATGTGACAGAACAACAGATTAAGGTATGTTGCCGTTAAGGTCTATGGCCTTGAAGGAACTTTTATCGATATTTTTATACGCCTCTTCTTGATTCGTCGAAGTGGTTAAGGCTTTGACCATACGAGGACCTATCCCTATTACCCATCACAAAGTCTTTCTTCATACCTTTGCTCGCAAATCGCTTGATGCATTGGTAGGATTGAAGTTAAGCTCGTCAGATTGCATAAGACCAATAATTCTTCAGGGTGCCTGGCAAGCTCCTGATTTCGAACTTGGCGCAGGCGAACGATGGTGTAAATTTATGACTGGCATGCCATTGCATGGCAAGAATAATGGAGAGTTCAGAGGGGTGAAGGCAAGACAGAAAGACCCAGCGAGCAGAGTGGTTGAGCGAACACAGCACAGCAAAGCACATCACAGCACAGCATTCATCTTTTTGGGCGTTTGTTCCGAGACGGTGCTCTTCATTTCATGGAGAAGCAGTCGCACCTATCTCGTGTTTATGAGTTATGGAGTTTATGATTCTTTGACGTGTTGCACCTGAACACCTCTCACACAGAGACGCGTCGATGGGATACGACAATCAATATTACCGATTGAGCATGTTGACTGTTCCTCAGTTTGAGTCGATTGAATTTGTTCTTCAAACAAGCATACTGATAGTATCACTAACGCTGATCGCTCGCTCGCTGGCTGTTTTCCATGGAGGTGTCGGAACGGAAATTCTTTTGGAATATCGCGAATGCCCTTTTTCTATGTGGACTGCCGACTTCGAAGAAAGTTCCTGCCGTGCATCTTTCTCAGTAACTAATACCATGTGTTTTCAATGATTAGGAATACTTTCACGAAGCCAAATTGCACACCAAGATCGTTCAACTAGTTTATGGTCCAAACGGAACTAGCCGTGGCGAAGCCAATATCACCTTCCATCGTCAAGGTGATGCTGCTGCTGCTGTATCCAAGCTTAACGGTGTCAAGGTTGACAACAGATCGTTGAGGGTAATTTCTGTCACTAGTCATCGTACTCAAGTTCATTCATTTACTATCAATAGGTTCAACTTCTCGTTGATGCCGAGGCTGCCAGCATTATGGAGGAGAAGCTTGCTAAGAGACTTACGGACCGAATTACAAGCGCGCCAAAACCGCAACCAAAATCTGCTGTTTTTTCAAACAAGCCAAACAGCAAGGATCAAGCTGGGAAGCGAGGAGGAAAGAGAGGCTCCCGTGGTGGTGCCGGTGCCACTACTGCTCGCCCAGCTAAGAAGAAGACTGCCGAAGAACTCGATTTGGAGATGGCCGATTACTGGGAGAGCGGAAACGCCGCGAATGCAGAGACCGGTACCGATGCTCAAGCTACAAATGCTGCTGCTGAGCCAGCTACCAATGGAGACGCAAACATGGATGACGAGATCTTGGTAGGTGTCAACATCTCTTCATTTGAATCATAGCATGCTAACTACGTTGCAGTAAAAATGCTCTCAGCTGTCTGTAGAGATATTTACGAGAATGAAGCACCATATTGAGAATACTTCCACACCCTGCACCAACTTCCCTCTTTACGCTTATGTCGATTGTATTATTGCTACTTCCTCATGCTTTTCTTTCTGCGATTTTCTAGCTGGGGTTTCTTTTCTACAGATGGGTGGGGTGGTTGGGGCATAGGAGTGAAGTGGAGAGATGACCAATGAGTTCCACAAATAATGGTTTTATGATGAGAGTGAGGATGGGTCGCTCACCTTCCAAATTGTATTCGAGCAATAGCGTCACAGAAATGGATATTTTCCTTCAAGCATTCTGGCTTTGGCAGCTTTTTCTCTCCAATGTTTGTCAACCAGATCATAAACTGCCTAGATGAAATCAATACATTGGCTGTACACTTAACTATAACATCGTTGAATTCTATTCCATGTCTTTTTTCCAACCTCGTGCAGCACTTTAGGTGAGTCTCCAAAATGAGATTTAGACATCAAAGTTTTCATGACATCGATACACATTCAGTGCTTCCTCCACGACGATGAGTCTAGGTATGGGGTGCTGGGCCTAAACATTCAGGATCAATAGATTGATTGGTCCTTATCTGTAGATACTAGGTGTTAGTATATGTGTGTGGATGTGTGACTGTATGGAGTAGGCATGCGTCCTTGTTCGACGAGATGAATGGATGCGTGAATGAATGCGTGAATGGATGGGTAGGGTTGGGATATGTAGGTTTTTTTTTTGGTGAGTTTTGACTTTTGAGTGGGAATTTGTGAGGCTGAGATGTGCTGGGTTGTGATGTTTGGGGTGGGAGTGTTCGGGATTGCAGTGAAAATTTATGTCTTGATGGGGGTGAAGAGATGTGCTGGGGATTGAGAGATGATGATTGGGTGGTTTTTGTGTATATAGGCAGGTGTTTTTTACTTTATATTGGTGTATTTGTAAATTGGGAGGTGGGTTAGAGTTATTTTGCGGGAGGTGAGTTGATGTTTAGATTTTGATTTGTGGGAGAGCGCGATTTAGTATGTATGCAATGTGGTGAGATTCGAGGTGGATTGTTGGGGGACTAGGAAGACGGAGAGAGGGAGGGGAAGAGGAGGATAATTTGTGAGTTGAGGGCTTGATGTGGGCTAGGGTTACTGGGGTAGGTAAGTGGTTTGGCTTTGGGAGTTTTTGGGAATGGGAATGGATTGAGGGAAAAGGGAATTTTTGGATGGAGGTTTCGGGGTTGGAGAAGAGGGGGGCTTGAGATGTTATGGGAGGTTGTTAATGTGGAGGACATAAGGAGAGGAGTGAGACTGGACTTGTGATGGCTTCTGGTATGTGATATTACATGAGAGGAGACTTCTTTTCGTGTGTTTTGGGGGTGGAGATTTGTGATGCTTGAGGTGTGTGGTTGGTTTTATTAAGTAAGATCCTGCAATTTGTGGTAGAGGAGGGTAGAGGTCGTGGTATAGAAGGTCGGATCTTGGGGGTCTATTTTGACTCTTGAAAGACGGGGTGATATGAGTGGGGAGAGAATGAGCGATTGGTTGATTGGAAGTTTGGAATAACGTGTGTAATATGTATACTAGAAAAGTAAAATGCGAGGGCACCAAAATTGGTGGAAATGATATGATAGTTGCGATTTATTGATCAAAGCGGACTTATGAGAGAGATAAAATTGTGTGTGAATAATCCGCGGACTAGGTGTGAAATATAGATTGTGGTGTATGGGATCGTGAATCAGTGGCAGGGTGTAAGCTCTGCACTGTGGATCATTACTGTTATATGAGGTGCTCGATCTAGTTAGATAGTATCAGTATTGAAGTCGGTTACTACAAGACTTGATTGTCCAATATTCACCAGCAAACCCGTGAGTACATTAATGACTGTTTATTCCAAGATTTCCTGTCGATTCACAAATCTATGTGCACTGCCTTATGCTCAAGTCCTTTTCCACACCCCTTCGCGCTTTTTTTTCTCCCATCAATCTTCAAACAGAAAATATCCAAAACCAAAACGATAATATACATACCAAACATCCTGACTACAAGCTGTTCGCAGTCCGCAATCTTTACCCAAGACTATCAAGTTGTCCTATTCCGACTTATTCATTCGATCCCCTCGACAGCACTACCACTCGATTCAATCATACAATCCTCGATTATTTCTAGAAATCCATCTTCTCGAGAACATCAAATTCTTCAAGGGCGTCATAGCTCAATACAAAAATTATAAGCCGTTCCGATTGTGTATATGCTTTTTAAAAAGGCTTAGATAGACACAAGCGAATTTCGATCATACGTCGAGAAACAACAAAACACGCCAACTCAAATAGTCCTATTTCGAATCAAACTTGCATCGCTTCTCATTGTCACCTTGACGTGCCAATACGATTTGAATCAGCAAATCTTAGTTCGTCATGCCATATAATCTAGGGGGGGGGGGGGAATATGGCAACCAGCTGATTATGCACCTGACGAAAAGTACCTTATGACAAGCAATCAAAAGAAGCGTAACTTGGGAAGATGGTTATCAAGTAGAACACCGGAAGATAAAGAGAGATACAGACTGGAGAAGAAACAAGAAGATCGTGAAAGGACTGAATTGGAAAAATTAAGGGGGGAAAGCGAGAAAAATAGAGAGAACAGAGCAAGAAGTCGCGAGAGCGCCCGTGAGAAGATTGAGAGGAAGCGAGGAACACCGTGGGATAGGGAGAGAAAGGACTTGGACGAGGCAATACGGACTTGGATACGAGAAGAAGAACTTGAAAAGGAACAAGAAGTTGAGAATGAGAAGCAATGGAATAGAAACTTGAGGTTTGCGACATGCTTTCGTGGAGATAAATCTTCGGAAAAAATTCAAGCGTATATGAAATTGGAGCAGGAGACTGAAAGAAAGGCGAACGAAAAGGAGAGAACCCGAAGGAAGCAAGAGAGGATTACGAAGTTTGAAGCAATGGTAAAGGCAGAGGCAGATCGTTGGACAGAGGAGTTGGACCTAGCCAACGCAGCTAGAGTTTATCCTTATGACGAGACTTCTGAGGACAGAATCGATCTTGTCCATAGACATGGCTGTATGCCAAAAACCTATACTTCTACCTCCAGAAATCAACTATGTGCAGATTGCAGGGAAGATGAAGATGCAGCAATGAGGATATACTGGCAAGAAAGGCGGGAGATGGAGAGGAGACTATATCAACTGAACACTTAGTATAATTCTAGTTGACCATCATGCTCGACGTAGCGGTGGATGTTTGATGTATTTTTAACCTAAGAATACTCTCCTTTCAGGGAGAAAGACTGGGAGCTTATCTTCCAATAATAGAGCGTGACTTTCAAATCATAACTTCCCCTTTTTCTTTGGCTAATCGTGCAGAAGAGGATATCCGTTTGATTGGTAAGAAAGCCAGCATGAGACGCAGATTGAGGTGTCGTTCCTTCCACATGTAAACAAACATACATACATTAAAAGTCCGTGCACCGATGGCCTACACTAGCCTTGAGCTCACCCTGGCCAGCCTTGTGTTCACCGAAGGTATTCTATACATTCAACTTCAACAATCCGCTATGAACGCGATGAAATGTTAACATGGCTTTAACTTCTGTATGTCAATTCTTCCATCTCGTTTGGAAAACACTAACAAAGTGCAGTGGAAAACGTTCGATTTCTTCGAGGTCAGCCAAGTCAAACCGCCGGATGATGAGAGTAAATCCTTCTTCGAGAACAACGAAATAAGCTGCGTATGCTCCGGTTCCGAGAATCTCTTCATAGGGAGCTATGATGGCATTGTGCGAATCTTATCCTCGAACTTCAAGATCCTGCGAACATTCCAAGCACACGATGTTGGGTCGATAACTCATATGAAACAAGTGGAAGGCACATCGTTGCTGGTTACAATAGCTGTGCGTGTCAACGTATGGTGATACAACATCAAGAACTGATGTATTTTAGGAAGATTTATCAAATGAACCGATTCTGAAAGTATGGGCATTGGACAAACCTGTGAAGAAGACAGGCTTACCGACATGTCAATCGAGTTTGAGTATCCAAAATGGGCGGAAACAGTTTCCTGTCAGTGGCATCTCCGCAGATGTGGATCGATCGCTAATTCAACCCAGATATCTGCATTTACCGCAATGGACGATCTTTCACAATTGGCTGTGGGATTCGGAAATGGTGCAGTGACCGTTATAAGAGGAGATTTGATCCATGATAGAGGAGCGAAGCAAAGAACAGTACACGAATCCGAGGAACCGATTACCGGACTTTCATTTCGAGAAGAAGAACGACTTGTTAATTTGTACATCGCCACGACTTCTCGTCTTGTGAAGCTCGTCATTTCAGGAAGAGCGCATAATCAATCAGCAAGACCGGTCGAAGATTCTGGATGTGGTGTGGGATGCATGACGGTGGATAAAAAGAATAGTGATATATTAGTAGTCCGAGATGATGCTATCTATTACTATAGAGTCGACGGTCGAAATTCGTGTTATGGTTATGATGGCCCAAAAAGCCTAGTAGCAGTTTATGGGGATTATGTTGCGATAGTCTCTCCCCCCGCAACATCAAGTGCGACGAAATCCAGTGCCATTCGGCGGTTTGGTGGGGCTCATGCAGATGATTTATTCAACACGTCGACATTCACCTTATTGGATACAGATCTAAAATTTGTGGCCCACTCGGAGTCATTAGTTTCGCAAGTCAAAGACTTGTTTATGATTTGGGGCGATTTATTTACGTTGACACAAGATGGAAAGGTTGGTAGTATTGGTCGATATCTTGATGCAAGCTAACAATGTAATAGATACATCGTTATCATGAGAAGCCGTTACAACAGAGACTTGAGACTCTGTACCAAAGAAATCTCTACGTTCACGCAATCAATTTGGCTCAAAAGGCTGGTATGGACTCTAAGCAGCAAAACATGATTTTCAGAAAATCAGGGGACTTCTTATATCAAAAAGGAGACTACGATGGCGCCATGCAACAATATCTGAAAGCGATTGATAGCACTGAACCATCACAGGTTATCCGAAAAGTATGTCGCACTTGTGAATTCTTGTTAGGCTGTGGCTAATCTACTTAGTATCTTGATACTCAACGTATTCATAATCTGATTGAATATCTCGAAGAGCTTCATGAACACCACAAAGCAACAGCTGATCATACCACTTTACTTTTGAATTGCTATGCTAAACTAAAAGATATTGATAAACTGGAGAAGTTCATTAAATCTCCAGGTGATCTGAAATTTGACCTCGAAACCGCCATTACAATGTGCAGACAAGGTGGTTATTATGAGCAAGCTGCTTACCTTGCAAAAAAGCATGGCGAACATGAGTTAGTAGTGGATATCTTGATAGAAGACTCGAAACGATATCCGGAAGCTCTACAATATATCTGGCGATTAGACCCTGATGCTGTAAGATTATTCACGTCGTGACTACAAGATATACTGACTTCATTAATAGGCTTATCCAATTCTCATGAAATATGCTAGAGTTCTTTTGGGGCATTGTCCGAAAGACACAACTCAGGTCTTCATTGACTACTACACAGGAAGCTACAGGCCAATGAAAGACGTTGTTATCACTTCGGAAGCCCCTGTACAGCATGCTGGGTATGCGGCTGGTGCCGCGGGTGCCGCTGTCAATGCTGTTGCAAACATGAGGGATTTGATTCCACTCCCTTTCATGAACAATTCGACTATTTCTTCACCTGCCACTGTAGGCAATGTTAATGCTACACCAGCCGACGGCCAAGTAACTGAAGATCTTGAACCACCGCCACCGGCTTACAGCCCGCCGCAACCAAGGACTGCGTTCTCTTCTTTCGTTGATCATCCTGAGGAATTCATAGTATTCTTGGAAGCATGTCTCAAAGAGCCGGGCCTGAAAGAACGTGATAAGATTGATCTGTATACGACCCTGTTTGAGATGTACCTACATAAATCGAATGAAAAGAATGGGCGTGATCGCGAAGAATGGGAAGGTAAAGCGAAAAAGCTTATCGAGGGTGAAGATATTCCCATTGATATTTCTAACGTACTTTTACTTTCCCATCTCTCGGACTTCAAGGATGGTACTACGCTTGTTCGTGAACAAGCTGGTCTACGTTTCGATATCTTCCGATCATATGCTGCTGCAAAGGACACTCGCGGTGCTATCAAAGCTTTACGAAAGTATGGCCCGGAAGAGCCTCAGTTATATCCAGCAGCCCTTGCATATTTTACATCAGACCCAAGAATTCTCGAAGAAGCCGGGGACGAATTGGACGCAGTATTGGAAAAGATCGACACCAATGGACTTATGGCACCTTTACAGGTGATTCAAACATTAAGTACCAATGCGGTAGCAACCATGGGTATGGTAAAAACCTACCTCCAACAGACAATCGAACGTGAACGCAAAGAAATCGCCACCAATCGTCGTACTATCACTTCTTATCGTACAGATACGGAAAGCAAACGTCAAGAAATCAACGAACTTTCGTCCAAGCCTCAAACTTTCAACGCCACACGCTGTTCTTTCTGTGGCACACAACTAGATCTTCCCACGGTCCATTTTCTTTGCAAACATAGTTTCCATCAACGATGTCTTAAAAATGATGACGAAGGAAATGTGGAAGGAGACTGCCCAACTTGCAAAAAGGAAAATGACACGATTAAGGCAATCAGGAGAGGCCAGGAAGAGACAGCTGAGAGGCATGATTTGTTCTTGGATATGCTTGGTAGGAGTGGAGATAAGTTTGGGATGGTGGCGGAGTTTTTTGGTAGGGGGGTTATGGAAGTTCCGGGGGTGGAGTGAAGGAGGGATAAGAGATGAATCGAAAAGGGGTGGAGAAATTGTGGATAGGATGGAGTGGCATAAAACGACATAATAAGTTTGGTTGATATTAATACGAAAGCAACAATCTTTCTTCTATATCCCTCAATATGCCATCTCTTATTTTGATTCTATCTACTTGTCGATGTGTCTGTAATTTTCACTTCAAACTTCTTTGGTGCCAAGGTAGTACCACAATTCCATGCTTGGAACGCTGATCTCTAGAGCTAAGTGCAATAGAGGCAGACAATCAAGCTTGTTTCATCTTGTGTGGCTTGATAAATATCAAAGTTCGATTGTTGCATGACTGAATTTCAGCCACAAAGTCTAAAGCTTGGATTCTCGATGGGTGAAGGTCAGTGCTAAGCTAGGACTGTGTCTAACCTTGGAAAGTATTGCTAGTTGGGAGGCTGTGGCTAGTAAGGGGGAGTAATCTATTTTTAAAACTCGTAATGGCGTAATTGAAGGTTTGATGCGTACGATTATGATGGAGTTGATGATCTTTTTTTTTTGTCGAGTTGGGATTGCTTGGTATGTGTGGTGATGAAAAGAGGAGAAAATTTTCTGTTGGATTTGGTAGGTGTGGATACCAAAGATGATGATTAAATGAACGGGAGTGAGTGATTTTGATTGTTAGTTTGGAGGATAGTTGTTGTCCTAAATTCGTGTTGTTAGGGGAAAGATGATGGATGTATCACCTCGGTTGTAATTCGAGTTTCTTTGAACTGGTCCTGCTCGGCTGGAAAGGGGGGGGATCGACTGCTTCGTTCGGGTTCTTTTGAGAAGAAAGATATTCTTTCTCCCAGCTCCCACGCTTGTGCCTGGATGTAACTTAGAACTTACCCACTAAGAGGAGAAAGTAGCAAAAGTTTTGTTGCACATCTACATTTGTGTTCTTACGGGGGTATCCTGACAAGTGGAGGATCAGTGTATCGAAATCTACAAGCCGGTACTGATAGCTCCCTCGCTAATATTGTTAAGTGCGACCAGTAAATTTATTATCATCCACTGATAGTTTTGAGATGGAATGGTATCGCTTTTGTTGCGTATCTGTAATTGGAATCTTGTGGGGGTATCCTGACATCGTTGGAAATAGTGGGATAGGTGGTGTGGTTTATGTTGGTTATTTGAAAGTAGAGTTCGCTCTAGAGAGTAGGGAAACCTTTTTATTTCTGAAGTTTCTTGGCAAGGAGGAAGGAAATGTATTTTTACGTCTTCTCGCGCTCAGGCTGGTAAGAGATGAGTCCATGCTCCTTCGGATGAAAGATATATAGAAGTAAATTCAATAGATTGAATGAATCTAGTCGGTCAGGTTGGTGGTTGATTTAAAGAAATTCAAATACAGAGGAATGAATGAAGGGAGGGAATAGGAGGATGAGAAAAGAG